GACCACAGCTCAGTGACGAGGCACGACCCAGCGACCGGCACAAGGCCAGATGCCGCGGGCATGTGTGATCCCCCGTAGGGAACCAATGACAAGGTGTGCGGCTGCCTGCAAGCAGCATAGACCAAGCAGGCCTTTGCTACGACAGAAGGCTTGACCCGCAAATGGTAGCTTGCAGATGGAGTAGCAGTCTCTGCAGACGGATAGTCTACACTGCTATTTGAAACACCATACAGCCAAAGTGTTTCCTTCAATGAAGGCCTACTCTACTTCTGATAGCTTGACCGGAAGTCCAATATGTTCTGCTATCCACTTTGACTATTTGCCCTAACCGCTGGTTTGATAAATGCGCAGGTAGCGTGGATGTGGATAATAGAAGACGTGATTTGCGTTACTAAAAGTCGAGGCGTCGACGGTGGCCAGCCATCATTCTGCAAACGGAGACTTTATTGTTACTTATCTTTTTAAACTAAATATCAGGAAGAGGTAACCAGCCCGATCTTGTCAGTAATATTGAAAACCCGTAGAGAAATTTACGCGGATTATGGAGGATAGAGCAAATGTAGGAAGGGGTAAATAGCCGACTTGAACATTATGAGGCACCAGTTTTCGCGGTCACCTCTTACTTGTGCTATGTCGTCGGCCTTCCGTACCTCTTCCCATAGTGTGAGACTCTGCTCAGACGCTTCATTATCACACAGTTACTACTGCCTTGCCGTGCAGGTAGTCTGAGACATTTCACAACGTCGTCACTGATAGCTTGCCTCTGTGGCTCATGGTGGTACCGCTAACGTCTTCTTGGGGTGTAAAGAGCCCCTGGTTTTGCTGTAGTGGATTGCCACCGACGTCAACCGTAAAAATGCTTAAAATTTGCATAATTACAGGGTCAGCGGAGGAAACCAATTGTACACATAAAAAAAATTGCAAAAAAAGGTAGACGATACGGCGGTGAAGGCTTACACGAAAGGAGGCGGGATCAACACTAATAGCCTGGTGTTTCAATACACAAATTACGGGAAAGTAGTCACGACGGGCTGCATCGGAGGGGTAGAAGATATTGTAGAGGGCCGACAAGTCCCTTTCAAGCATGCTGAGGGTGGCTCGGACAACCTCTTGTAGGCACACAACGTGGAATACTTCCCTGGGAGATAAAATTGAAGAGAAGTTAAGTGATGCAAGCGGTAGAATATGATGGGGGAGAAAATGTGGTATACAATCAGAAGTATGTGTGGTGCTTACGTCTGGATAGTGTTGATGACGGCTTCAGTGCGAAAAATGCACGACTTCTCACTTAGGCCATCAATGTTCCAGGAAAGGACACGAAAGAGATGGGCATGTTGAGCGTCAGAAGTGCATACAGGCGTTGCGGCAGAGACACTGTTAGGCGCTATCTGTCTTCCAGGTCTGGGTTGTCTTGTGTGTTCAGACCTGATACGTAGATAAGAAAGGACGGCGCGAGAAAATGCATGGAGTATCGATATTCGGATAATTATCGTTAGGTTTCAAGTAAAACCCTTAGCAATTGTTGGCGTCTAATTTTTGCCTCGAAAGATTTCGAATAAAGAGGACATAAACAAAGAATCTTAAACCATGAAAGCTTTATTAATGTGATTGTGCACTTTGCATGACGGAAAGTTCAAAGAATGTCTCTATTTCCCTCGTACGTGTAAGTGGAAGCCAGATAATTCGTTATGGTGTATGTGTCATCCCGAAGAAGGGATGGGAAATGGAAAGCGCATGTGCCAACAGAGATAGCGCTACGGATGCCACTTGCTTGGCTGATTAAATTGCTATAACACTTATTAATTCTTTTATTATCGAAGGGTTTACAAGTGTAGAGGGCAATTAGTGCAATTAGCCTGTTCGCTTCTATCCGGGTTACTGGCAGTTGCGAAGATTGGAGTCATTTTCCGAGTTACAATATGCCTAGCGTCGAACATACGTGTTTAGGGCGTCAAAGACGACATCAATTCGTGTGGGAACACTCAACCCTCCTTATTCTAGTGATTAACCGTGAAATCGTCGTCGGAGAGGAGGTTGACTTGCGTTCTCTACATCCAATACTGTTTGTCAACGCGCATAGAAAAGTGGTATTCGCGGCATCGTTGAGACCGACTAAATAAGGTATAATCAAAACCCCCATCAAGTAAAAAGAAGATTAACTGCTCCTCGACAATAGGCCTGACATTATGACAATAATGTGATAAATGGCGAGGAACCTACCTCTTTGAGGTTGCTGGAGCCTGGTCACCGGTTCCGTCATAGAATGAGGCCAAAGCGAGCTTAGGGTGAAAAGGAAAACGAGGAAACACAAAGGGAAAAATCAATAACGAATAATATATACTGCCCAGATGTACTGTAGGATACTACTCCTATGCTATAGTTGTAAGAATGCCATTGCATAGGTGGAATTAATAGTACACATGATGACAATACAAATGTCAAAGTGACAAGAGGCCGAGTTATAAAAAGATCAACAGGACCGTGCGAGTTTTTAGTATCCTCGAAAAAGATTAGGACTTAATATCGGTGGTTTAAAAAAAACTAAAGGAGAGAGATGAGGTGTCAAAAGGTTTCACAGACAAACCTCTAGGTTCCAAGAGGCTTGTTGCAAATACATCATCGCTAAAGCTTTATCGGTTTCTGTAAATTCCGCGAAAGTTTCGCATAATTTCATGCACTCATTGGCTGTTGGCAAAGAATCGTCGTCTTCATCTTTCTCTTCATCAACATAGATGCAATCGTCCGTTTCCATTTCGGCAGCTAAAATGAAAGAACCGAGATGGAATACGCTGCCTCCTTACAAGTTAAAATGACTTCTTTGAAGTTTATGAACGATCATTTACAAAAAGGAAAAGTCGGGTTGAGCAGCTTAGTCTAATACAGCAAGTTAAGGCTTTTCACTTTGGTAAGTCTTCCGGAAAGTGCACAGTTCACCCTATCAAATTCTTCAACTTATTGCACGCATAGCGGCGCAAAATTTTCTGTAGGAATGTCGAATTGTAACGGTTGCCATAAGAAACAACCCTAAGCGCCTTTTGCTTACTAACAGTTTGACCGTGATTACAGATTAGGTTCACCATGCGCCCCACCGCAAAATGAACGGAGAGGCGATGAGTCGCGTATAAGTTAGCCTATAATGATTGGATTTGTGTGTAATCCGCCGCCTGTTCTCTTCCCTCACTCACCTAGACCCGGTGTCAAGAGACATTCCGGAAAAGACCGGGGCGAGACCGAACGGCCAGTAATAAGCGAGTCAAACACGCCTGGTCTACACACAATGAACAAGGATTCCTCGTAAGCAGAAGGGGGGAGCTCGGACCCCAATTGGATGTCATAGAGGCCACATTAAGGAGCCACTGCAGGCTGATTCGCCGTCCTGAGCGTAGGGCAGAGTTAGCCCATCATTTGGTAGCCTTCGAAGCTACGGTTTTTATGGCAGATTGATAAATTTGAGTGCGTCCGATTGTTCATAGCGAAAGGTTGGCACCGACTGCTGTTGATCCCACTGCCTCTTCACTCTCCAATGAAGCATTACACTATCCAAGCCGGTCAGACAACTGATAGGGGAATGTCTCGAAGTATGTCGGTACTGCCTCAATATTTGCAGGGGTTTACAAAGATGATGCATCGCTATCATTAAGGCTAGCCAGCAAAGCTCTGATGACGTATATGTCATCAGGCAATCAGAAGAGGATAGAAAGCGCGGAGAAGAGAAATTAGACTGCGTACTTGCGGCGCTTTACGATAAGACCGCCTTCACTTCGGCCCCTATTGACATGCCTTTCATTTCCCCTGTGTTAACAATTGCCGAACTGGACGCCTTTAATAAGGCATTATGAGGGAAACAATATCGCCAACGGATCGTAAGTTACCCAACAAATTAAGCAAACCTTACCAGATGACCCACTTGGCATCCCTAGCTACCGATGACGTGCCAGCGTACGTTAACAGGGTTTTCCGGATCCTGCTGACAGACAGTATCACAGAGGAGCTCTCTTTTAGGGGCCAGCAGCAGGGGAAGAAAGCCTTCCGCGACATGGAGGCGTATACCGTGATCCTGCGTAAGGGTTACTACTTTATTCTAACGCTCCTTCTATCAGAGGCTTATAAAGTTGCAAATGAATCCCGGCCAATAGATCGCCACTGTGTTGAGGATGCTTTCGAGGACACGTTCAAGAAGGCCTATGACAGGCATTTCAGACGGTGCATTAAGGCTGACAACGGAAAACCTTCTGTGGGTAAATTAACACATATTATTGCAACGCAAATAATATCATAAGTTGCGTACTCTCATCCAGTACTCTTCATTTTTCAGAGCACCAAGTCGAGGAAGAAAATCATCCGGAGTCAGGCCCGTCCACAGGCTAATTATACCACGAGGGTGGACGATTAACCAAACTAAATCTTTTGCACACACTTTTTTACAGATATTTTTATACAATAAAGTTATCCTGTGCTCCAAAAAGTGCTACGCGATATATCGCCCGAATGGGGTTTTTTTCGTAAGAGGTAGGCGTCCCGCTGTCCAAATGAAATTCGTACGAATTTTTCGTTCATTCGTTGTAAAATCGTTCTAAATCGTTCACATTTTGCTATTAGGGTAGGAGGTAGGATTGACCATCCCAGCGCTAAATAACCTCGATGCCCGTGTGGTTATATTTTAACATCTTTTTCTCATTGTCGGATCATCTGTGTAGTGGAAAATAACTGGGCCTTGTTAAATGAGTCAATTAATTGATCTCAATATATGCTTAGCAAAGACAATTAGTCCATACTACCCCACTCTTCGGATTCCTTTACTCATGCAGATTAAAGTCGACCGCGGTAGCATAACTACGTACGACAGATATTTGTCAATGCAATGATATCAACTGACGCACTATAGTGCATTGACCATATGGTCGCGATTGGGTGAGACTGTCTTAGTAGGTCCTCAAGGATGTCAGGGTATATATCCTGTCAAAACTGAGGCCGGTGACGTGATTCACACGGTATAGAGTAACGAGTGTTCAGTTGCGACCGTAACGATAGGATACATGGAGGTGTCTTGGTATATGCGACTGATGGACTAGTTGTAACACTGTTAGAACGCACACGCACAGAAGACAACATGGTTGAACAACTCTGGGTGTCGGTCAAGGCTGCTGCTGGTGCAACTACAACCATAGGTGTTATATATCGAAGCCCTCAAGCTAACGG